GTATTGAAAGTGTTAACGTTGGTCGTTGATTATTATTGTTACTATTGTTGCTATTGTTATGATAGCTGTGATTATGTGGAGCTGTTATTCCACCACCACTACCATTACTATTACTACCACCACCGTTACCGTGGTGATGATGACTGCCAAATGGGAGAACATTACTGTTATTACTGTTTTCATGTGTATTGCTGACTGATGATGGGGGCGAGAGACGTCCACCCGCGCTCGTCGGTGTAGTCGCTGAATAATGAGGATCTATTTGTTATTATTATTATTAATAATTCATCGATTGATTTGAATTAAAAAAATATATATGCGATTAAGATTAATAAGAATGAATATGAGAATTGTGATCTAATAAAAAAGTTAATTCATTGATTGAAGAAAAAAAAATTTTCATAGATTATAATATTTATGTACAACTAAGTAAAATAAAAAATAAAATAATTATAGATATGTACCAATTGTTGGTGGTATAGGCAGATATGGACTATGTATATCTGAAGGTGATGTTTTACTATATTGATTAATTGTAGGTTAATTGATCATCGATTAATTCTTAAATAAAATGAAAGATATTTTATTTTGGGGATTTTATATTTTATCATGATAGTGATCACAATAGTATAAAACAGTTCACATTTTGGTATATGAGTGTAACACTTACGTATTGTAGCTGGTATTTAATGCTATGAAAAAAAAAAGAAAATCAGAAATCATTATTATCAATATGATTTTTCTAATTGATAAGCATCAAAATAACCCTCACGTGGAACACCAGTAAATATCGTCGGTGGTTTCTTTTGTTCTCTCATCATTTCCAGTTCTACTTGTTTGCATTGTAATCGGAATTGTTCGGCCTTGCATTTTTCTTCTTCGGCTCGTCGCTGTTTCAATTATTTGTTATTTCGTTGGTTAGTTTATCACATGAACGTATAATGAAGTTCTCGAGAAAAAATGATCAAGGGAGAGAAAATCCTCCATATAAAGAAACTTTGACTCGATAACAGGTCGTTAAACCAAAACTGTTCGAATAAACCATGAAGCGGCACCAAAAACGCAACATACCTTATCCTCCTCGGTCTTCGCCGTCAAAATCTGTTTTAGTAAATCATTGTCTCGATACATGTCGAGAATCTCGCGAAGTGATAAATCTGTTCGAGGAAGGTGCGATGCCGGCGAAGGATAAGCGAAAGCTGATTGCCTTATGTCTGACATTATTCTCTTCTTTGTTCTATTTTTCTTTTCCACAAGTGAGCAGTATATCTGTATGCTATATAGATTTTAATTTGCTGTGCATGAAGCAAAATTGTTGGTCGCGTATTGTGTTGTTTAATTATCGAAGATAATACAATAGGGATAATATGCAAGCTATTATTAGCAAAAAAACGTTTCTTTTTACTTGCTCTATAGGGGAAATAATAATTATAAAAATAAACGATATGCTATAATTAATAAAGGAAAATAAATGATAATAAAAGGACAAAAAGAGTTTGGGTTTACTGGTTGACCAAACTAATAATAAATAAATCGAATAAATAAAAAATAAAAATACAACAAATAATAATGGGAAATGACAAATTTAATTGATTTTTTTTTTAGCTCTCGGAAGTACTGTGTTTGTGTCTAATTTCTCGTACGTCTATTAATGGGTTCGTGTAAAAATTTTGTGTTGGGAAGTGAGGGAAGAGACGAAGGTTAAATTCTCGTTTATACTGAACACACGGATATTTTTACGTAAATTTTTTTAGTTACTACATTTATCGTCATTTATTGATTTATTTGAGGTTTAACCAAGTCCTCGCCTAATATAGCATACAAGTATCGTCATATGATCAAGGTAGACGAGAGGAAAAAATTTAGGTTATCGTATTTGATACATGTATGTTATTTCTGACTTTGCATTGATAATTATGTATTGCATAAATGCATGTATATTCATTTGATTTCTAGATGGTTGCGTTTTATTTTTTATTTATTTTCGATCATACCGTGCAGAAACCCTAATTGTTTTGGGAATAGTATATTACAATTTTAAAATATTATTTATATTTATTTACATTTTTGAAAGGTCCGGTCCTTCTTTGTTTTTTGTTATGCCCATGTTTATCACTCTTTCTCCCTCGCTAATTGATTGATTGCCTTTATTCGTTCAATGTATGAACCAATATTAGTAAATTGCAAATAAATTGTTCCCTATTTTAGAATGAATTATAATACCGAAAAGAACCCAAAGAATCCGTTGGTCATAAAATCAGTGAAATCATGGAATCACATGTCTGTAAGCAGAAAATTTCGCGCCTTTAGATTTTATAGATTGCGAATTATTTGTGTTTTGTGCGCGCGCACAAATCGCTTATCTTTTGTGATACCATCATCATGTTATTTCCCATAATTTTCAAACACTTGATGAGGATTTTTCATCTCGTTATATTAATTGATTTTATTTGATTTGTAATGTTAAATACATTATGCCATACATAATATGAATCTAATAATAGAACAACGTCCCATTACGGAATTCAATAAAGATAAACGACTTACTACAAGAAATACTTGCATTGTGTTAAAAAGATTTATCAAGTCGGATGACCATCATCAAATCATATTTACTTATTTCTAATCAATCAAAGTGAACCACAGCACGAATACTAAAAATAACATTCAAAACAAAGAATTAATTAATTTAATCTATCATCATGATAACTGATAATGAGGGTTACCAGACCAAATAAATTGCATTACATACCAGTCGCCAGAGTGCATCACTTCAAACGCCTTATTGATGTCATTGATCCCGAAAGTATGAGTGATGTAGGAGTCTACCTCAAGTTTCCTTGAAAGGTAGTCTTGAACGAGATTTGGTAATTCTGTTCGTCCTTTGATACCGCCGAATGCAGAGCCTTTCCATACTCGTCCTTTTTTTTGCAATGATTAACGGAATAATATTAAGAAAACGATGATTATGATGATAATTGTAAAATGAGAATAAAGCGAAAATAAGGTTAATCTAAAGAAATGTAAAACCTGTTACAAGTTGAAACGGGCGAGTACAGATCTCCTCTCCTGCACCTGCAACTCCAATAATAACTGATTGACCCCATCCTTTATGACAACTAATTAACGATAATGGCATTGTCGATATCATTATTATGATGATTAGTAATTTAATAAGTATAAATACAAAAAAGTTACACGAAATAATTTTTTTTTCATAAAAAGGATCCTATTATTACTATTATTAACCTCTCTAACGCAGCTCGCATTAGTCCAACGTTGCCAACACATTCAAAAGACGCGTCAACTCCTCCATCGGTCAGTTCAACAATTACCTATAAATCAATCAAACAATCACCGAGTCCTCTGTTAATGTATGTAATAACAATCTCATAGAGCTACCTTTCTTTCATTCACCTGTTGAATGGGTTTATCATAATCGTCGGGATTCAAAAATGTCAGCTCAACATTCGGTGCTAATTTCTTCACTTTATATTATACAAAAGGTTAATTTTCAAAAAGAAATATGGATAAAAAAATAAAACCAATTCACCATATTCGAATTTCCTTGGATTCTTGTCAATAGCAATAATTTTACTTGCTTTACGTACTGCGGCACCTTGAACTACCGATAATCCAACACCGCCTAAAAAGAACAATAACAATAAATGAACATAAACAATACAATCATAATCTAATCATAACGACGAATTATTCACATACCTAAACCAAAGACAGCAACTGTTGCGCCAGGCTGAAGATCTGCGGTCTTTGTTGCAGCACCGTATCCTTTATTATAATATAGAATTATTGCATAATCTTGGGGCTATTGTTGCACTGAACGCATGTCAATAAGAAATACTATATAAAACTATTATTACCAGTGGTAATGCCACAGCCTAACAAGCAAACCTTATCGAGCGGTGCATCGGGATTAATTTTGGCGAGTGATATTTCGAGTACAACTATTTTTATATTTTCCAAGTTTAAATATTTTTCTCATCATCAATAAGATTGCGTTTAGGTAATGATGATTGTGCATCCTTGCCTGTGTATTGGCTGAAAGTTGAACAGCCCATATAATGATATGCTTTCTGACCTTTATATGTCATATTCTATCGTTAACAAATATATCGCAGATAATTAATTAATTAATTAATTAATTAAAAATTTGACTATTCACCTTTGACGGTGAACCTTGTGGTTTCATCTGGCATAATCCCACGACCTTGCGTTGATCTCACAAGACCGCACAAATTCGTTTTTCCACTCTTACAAAACTTACATTCACGACACTCAGGAATATACAATGGGATGACGTGATCCCCGGGTTGTACTGAAGTGACGCCTTCTCCGACTGATTCTACTATACCACCGCCCTCATGGCCTAGGATTATTGGCCAGTACACACCTTCGGGATCTTTATTATTGCATCGTAGGTTAATAGTATTGGTGATAAGAAATATTTGTGATTTCTTTAAAATATAATTTTGGATGTTTAGGCAAATAGAATGAAAGTTACCTTTTCCGGATAAGGTATACAAATCTGTATGACAACTGAAATTTATACAAATTTGAAGCTTATACATATCATTTCACGATTTTCTAAATTAAAAATAAACTTACACTGCAGTAGCAAATAATTTCACTCGTACTTCTCCTTTCTATAAGAAGCCATATAGATATTAATATCTACACAAAGGATCGACCAATCAATTAATATATAACAATTAGACCTTTGGCGGAGCAACTTCAACTTCCTCAATGGCTGGATGATATTACGAATGAAAGGGAAAAATCCACGGTGAAATATATGAAATCAAAAAGTATTTATTAAAAGACGAGCTTACAAAGCGGTTGCGTGGGTCCCCAAGCAACGGCAGCTTTACATTTAATGACCTAGTTGTATAAATATAGAACTCATAGGGATAGTGACTGTGTGTCTAAAAAGATGAAATCCAAAACAAGATTGACTGGATTACCTGTCCAACTGTCGACATTTTTTTTAACAATTTAGCCTGTAATGAGATTCTTGACAAAATACTATGGCTTAAAAAAATGTTTATACAAAAATATATTTAATAATAAACTAATAGGTTGAATTTTTTAGCCTAAAAGTTTAATTTTGAATATGATCAGCAATAGGTCATTATTGCTTTAACCAACTCATATTTTGCTGGAGACGTTTAAACTACACAATGACGCGTTACGCAAAACTCGAGAAAAAAAGATACAAAGAGGCTGTTGGGTTTGAAGGGTTCAATATTAAGCCATTAACCCCTTCAAAGTCAAAGTCTTCGACTATAAAGAAGGAACGAGAACAAACTGTGGTTGCGATGGATGAAGACCAATTTAAAGAGAAATCTATAAAGACGAAGAGCAGTGTTAAAAGAAAAGTAAAGGCTGAAATTGAAGATAAGGAACTCGAATTTATTAATGGAATTAATAAGAGTGATGCTAATAAGCAAAAGAGTAAAAGACGAAAAATCGAAGAAAAAGTTGATAATAAAATTGGTGGTGATGATCATAATATTAAACATGCTACAGGTAATATTTTTTTCGAATGTTGTTATTCGTCTTTTTGATTAATAATAAATCCAACCATTTTATCATAAAAGTGAAGAATACTGACGTGAAATTATCAAGGTCGGAAAAACGCAGACTTCGGCGTATCAAAGAACGAAAAAGCAAAACGGTCTATATTCGGGAGATTTACTTTTTTTGGGGGGGGGAGTAATTTTAATTAATTATTTATAATTTACAAAAATATAGATATGCTTTGCTTGTCGTAAGCCTGGACATGGTGTAAAAGATTGTCCAGAGGCAAATAAACATGGTGATGCTGCTGCCGATGAGAGTATTAGCGTAGGAATATGTTATACTTGTGGATCGACCGAACATACATCCAAGAATTGTAAAAAACTGAAATTTTCAAAAGGTAAAAAAAATTATAATTTGTTTGATTTTACATTAATTTCAAGTCTTAAAAAAATCTAACACAATTAGATGATAAATCTTTGGAAAATATAAAATATCGATATGCTAAATGCTTTATATGTGGAGAGCAAGGACACTTGTCTGGTAAATGTCCTAAAAATGAGAAAGGTTTATATCCAAATGGTGGATCTTGTCGTTTTTGTGGGAAAGTTGATCATTTCGCTAAAGATTGTGACATCAAAAAAGAAGGTTTGTTGAATTGTTGTATTTGGATATTTTTAAATTTTTGTCTAATAACACATTGGATTTTTTGTTAGAAATTGGAGTAGTGGCTTTAAGTAAAATCGACACTGAACACGGTCCAGATGATGATGATTTTCACATTTTCATTAAAGGCATAAATAAATCAGAGAGAATGCAAAGAATGAAAGAAAAAATTAATACCACGTCGACAAAAATAACAAATGGGTCTTTGGATAGTAGTATTAGTAAAAATAATATTAAGCATAGTAATAAAAGCACAGTTAAAAAGAAAATTGTTAAATTTTAACAAAAATAATGTAATATTTCCAACGATATAATTAAATTATATGCTACGTGTAATCTTCAATTGGGCTAACGATAACGGCTACCAGAATTCATTTTAATCTGAATTCGTTTTAATCTGTCACATGTATTGTGTATTGTTATTAATATTATGTGTAATAGATTATGCATGCGTGATCTGTTGTCGATCGATTTAAAAAATCGATTAATCATACATGTGAATTTTTTGTCCAAAGTCTTAGCCAAAACGCACAAAGTTCCCTAAAACAAAATTATTGTTGAGGTTTCTATGAACAGAGCAGTGCAAAGATCACGAAAAACTAATGTCTCCCTGTAAAGTGAAACATCTTCGAAATTAGCATTTATTTTGTCTATTTTTGCTAGATTATTCTTTGGCTCACAAATTCTTATTATAAAAAGTGATTCACCAAACATGCCCAAACAATAACCATCTACAAAGTTTTACCTCAAGGGATTAGTACATTACAAACATGTGGAAGAAAATTAGGAAAAGCTGTTTATAATATAGTATAGATGATAATATTTCTTTTAATTAACAAAAATTTTTTTTATGATTATTAGAATATATCTATTTGGTTAAATACAAGTTAAAATGTATGCAAGATTTAAAATTCCTTATTCATTTAGGCAAATGCTAATTGTTCTTAGCTGGTACTTCAAGATTTAACTGAATAAAAAGATAATATAGAAGTTATAATGATAATTTGCTTTGAATTGTATAGATTTTAATATAATATTATTACTATTTTAAGATTATACATATATGATTATTTTAAAATGGTAATAGTAATTGTGTTCATGACAATTGTTTACTTTTTATAGTTTCAAGAGATTATACAATTGATTATCTTCTCAATAAGATAATATATGCAAGAATTATTTCTAATAAAATATGATTATCTTTTTAATAAGATAATTTATATAAGTTTACTTCTAATTAAAATACTTTCTCAATAGAGCAAGAAGAAAATAAAATAAGATATATGATAAAATATGTGTGTTTATTAAAGAAAAATACTAATTAACTATTCTTAATTCAGCAGCTAATTCTTTCTATTGAAACTTAATTATTCTTCTTGATTACTTTTTGATTCTTTATATATAATATTTTTCTTATTACGCTAATTACAAATTATTTTTAACATAATATTTCACTTAATTTATTCAAGAATAAATAAAATTTGAAAAGAATAATTACAAGAAATATTAAATCATGATAATAAAGAATTTAAAATTAGTAAAACATTAAGTTATTCAAAATTAAAGTAAGAAAAGAAAGAAAATTAATAATAATTAATTAGAAAATTATTAATTTAATAAA